CAGTGTACCATGCAGCTGGTGTGACTGAGTTGAGTTGTCCATTTCATGTTTTATATGATAGGAAATTACTTGTTACCTTCTCATTCCCAGGCCAGGGATGGCGTCCTTCCGGGTCTCCCAGAGCCTGCCCTCTGCACATTAACCGCTTGCTGCTCATGGAGGCATCTGTAATCGGTCTCCCCAGACCAAGTGGAGGTCACTCTGCCCTTCAGGTGGACATCCAGCAGGCATTGGGGGCTTATCAGGGAGACGCGTATGCCTTCTGGTCATGCGCTGCCCGTTTGTGGACCGGGGGGACTCGTGAATCCTGGACCCCAGATCATCTAGTTGTACTTTCCTGGAGGAACACCCGTTCAGGGCAGGTCGGGGGTGGGGTGGGGTGGGGTGGAGGGGGTTGGGGGGGAAAGTAACCCCTCTGTGCCTTGGGACATCAGAATGGGGAGGACCCGGAGGGCTCCTGCGCAGTCCTCGATGGGTCTTTTGGAGCCATTTTAAAGGTACTTTAAAGAGACTAGCCCAGGGCATGAGGAACAGCTTGGCATTTAAATGGTTTAGGAATAAACGTTTCTGGAACCCTGTTTTCCCCTCACAATGTTGATTGACTATCATATGCACTTGGAATTAAATCTGTATTTATTTTAATTATCATTGTATATGTGGGGTTCATGTGTTGTGTTGCTTTTCTCTCACCTTTAAATAGTCTTTCCATGTGATTGTAACTAATCAGTATTTTTCTTTTGCACCTTAAGTCTTAAAAATTAAGATGTTTCCTTTACAGTGAAGATGGGGGGTCCTCTCGGTGTCCTTCTAGTCTGGTTGTGGGGAAGGACTGAAGTCCTGGAACGACACCTTCTCTGGTCCTGTAAATTGCACTCACTCCAGACCGACGGATGCATTTGCTTTCGGTTATAACTGTAATTGTCTAGATGGTTGATTTATTATTTTTAAAAGGGCAAACTAACTGATAAAACGTTTATGTACAAGTTGCACCAAAAATCAAGGACAAAATAAATGTGTGTTTGTTTTTATCGGTGTGAGAGTCACAGCTTGTAAATAACTGGTGTACGTTTTAAACCTTTTTCAGCTCTCCAAAGCCATGTATTTTTGTACATTACGAAATAGAGTACTCTCCATTCACTGGCAAACTTGGTGGGAATGGAAGTTCGCAAAATTAATGCAGGCGGATGTAGCAGGGCCCCACGTGCATAACTCAGACAGACGTTTGGGCCCCAGAAGGGAACAGGGAGGCGCCCCGGGGCTGCTGAGGCTGGCCGGGCGGAGGGCGGAGGATAAGGAGGCGCAGCTCAAAACGAGTATCTGACAGGTCACTCGCTTTCCATATTCTGCGTGTGGTCTTCAGACTCATCCAGCAAATAAAGCGGGTGTCATTGTTTTTTCTTGCCCCATATCTTACTCATTTGTATAGGTTAGAGACGTACGTAAAGAAGATAAATGTTTGTATCTTTAAGTAAACTTTTCAGAAATTGATCTTCTTCATGTGCTGTTTAAAACTAATAACCTTGGTCAACTTGTTAATAAGTAAATTAGAACTTCAGAATCTACCGGTAGTTTAGAGTTTAAAAAATACCTTTTTTTTTTTTTTAATTATAAAAATTGAAAATTGCTGTACAAATCTGCGAAGTCCTGGGAATGAAGGGATCTTTAAGATTTTATTCTCTGTCAGAAAAGCCTCGAATCCACGTTGTCAGCCTCTGAGCCAAGAGAACATGCCCTTTCTCAAGGAACAGTATAGCTTTTCCTGTCACCTTCTGGAACAGGGAGTACGACTCAACGTTTAATTCACTTCTGTTTGATTTTCATATCTGGGTCCTATTCCCAGTGTGACGTTCTATAATTACATATATATTTAGAGGGAGAAAATGAAGGGGAACTTCAAAGTGTTTTTGGTTTCTTATTGTCTGAGAACTGAACAAAATCAAATTTATCTCACGTTTGGTTTTTTTCCCCTAGGATCAAAAGATCTTTTGAGATGTAAGTTACATGGGTCTTTCTGCCATTTTTTTTTTTTAAGACAAAAAAGAATGTCACCCAAAACTTCATTTGTTTTCTTGATATTCACCATAAGTCTAACCAAAAGGCTGTAATTGGATTTTTGTTGCGTTTTAAAGTAAGGTCCATGTGTTTGAGACAAGCTGGTTTTGTTGATAAGGTTGCATCAACTGTTAAATAATTGTGAAGCCAGATTTCGAATGTGTATCTAAAAAGCAAAGGATATGTAGCCATTTTGCAAATATCTGAAACATGTAAATACTAGCAAATGGGAAAGAAAATAAGTTATAATTTTTGTGAATTTCATGGGGATCTCCTATGATTGGAAAAATTATAACTCTTATACTTCTAATGTGGAAATTGTATTTAATCTGAAAATGAGTTCTACCTACAGTCCCAGGGCCAGCCCAGCATGGGTCGGCTCCCTTGATTGCTGAGTCTCAGTCCGAAAGGGTGGAGATCCCATAAAGAGTTAAAGAAGAAAATGCTCACAAGGCTTCTATGCAGTCTGTCCTTAGTGTTTCCACTGAGTTACAAAGTGAAATTAAAGAAACACTCCAGGTGTGTATGTAAAATGAACGATGGTACTACTTTGTATAATTGTGCTGATGTAAATGTTTTACTTTTGACTGTGATTTTCTAAAATAAATCCTACCTGATTTTAAAATTTTATTTTTCATGAAAATACCCCTTGATCTGTATTTAGCCATCATATAAACCAGGCCATGAGAGCCAAAAGCATCGTTTGTACAATGTGCTGGGGTTCTGTGACTGGAAAAGGTGACAAGTTGGTGACTTTGACACTGTAGGTATTAATTCTATTTTCATGGTTTACGATGAAAAATCATTTTCACATTACTCTGTAATATACTGTTAGATGAAAACCATGTAAGCATTAAAATTCTGAAAATACACATTTTAAGAAGAAACTTTGCTGTTTGAACTTGTTTCTTTCGCTGTGGGGTTTGAAAATTGAGCAGGTGAAGTTAAAGGACTTTGTTTTCTCTCCCTAATCCTTGTTCCTGTCTTTCAGGCAGAAATTATTTACTTTTGGGTGACCATTAGGGATTTTTTCATAATTTATTACAGTAGCTCACAAGAACTGAGATATTTGAGTTTTCAGAGCTTTCAGTTTTTCAGTAGACACTGTGTTCGTCAATTTACATTCCACAAAATCAAGCTGGGCTGCCTGGGACAACGTTCTGTGACACTGGGTTAGGCTGCCTGTACGGTTTCTTGGAAGAAATGTGCTCTTCACTTAATTTATTAAGGTACACTTTTCAGTATGATTAGCCAGTTGCTGACCCCATGTGTGTCAGAGTAGAACTGTGCTGCACAGGGTTTCAGTGGCTGATCTTTTGGAAGTAGACTGCCAGGCCTTTCTTCTGATGTGCCTCTGGATGGACTCAAACCTCCGACCTTTCAGTTAACAGCATGAGGGATTGTTGTTAGGTGTCATGGTGAACTTGATTTCAACTTATTGTGACCTCATGTGACAGAGTAGAACTGCTCCATAGGGTTTTCTAGGGTGCAGTCTTTGTGGGGAAGCACTTACTGATGAAGATCAAAGACTACAGCCTTCAGTATGGATTACACTTCAACATAAAACAAAATCCTCACAACTGAACCAATAAGCAACATTATGATAAACAGAGAAAAGATTGAAGTTGTTAAGAATTTCATTTTACTCTGATCCACAATCAACACCCAGGGAAGCTGCAGTCAAGAAATCAAGTGACGCATTGCATTGGGCAAATCTGCTGCCAAAAACCTCTTTAAAGTGGTTAAAAGCAAAGATGTCAGTTTGAGGACTAAGGTGCACCTGACCCAAGCCATGGTATTTTCAATTGCCTGATATGCATACAAAAGCTGGACAATGAATAAGGAAGACCGAAGAAGAATTGATGCCTTTGAATTACGGTGTTGATGAAGAATATTGAATATACCATGGACCGCTAGAAGAACGAACAGGTCTGTCTTGCAAGAAATACAGCCTGAGTCTCACGTGCTTTGGACATGCTATCAGGAGGGACCAGTCCCCGGAGGACATCGTGCTTGGTAAAGTAGAGGGTCAGCCAAAGAGAGGAAGACCCTTAATGAGATGAATTGAGGATGGCTGCAGTGATGGGCTCAAGCATAGCCAACATAGTGAGGATGGTGCAGGACCAGGCGTTTCGTGCTGTTGTATGAGTCGGAACCTACTCCAGTAGGCAGCTAAAAGTAATCTTTGCTGGAGCTGATCGCCAGATCTTTCTGCCGGGGAACCGCTAGTGGGATTCTAACCACCAACCTTTGGGTTTGCGGCTGCACCGTTGTGCCCCCCCGGGATTACAAACTGTTAAATAGGAAGCTTGGGGCTGGAGGAAGAACCTGTTCAGAGCTTTAACCTCATTAGCGGAAAAGGCATACACTGTTCCGAGTCGCGGTGCAGCCTGGTCCCATGGTCTCCGGCTGCAGGCTGGACCAGCCCGTGCTTGCTCTGCGCGGCTCCACGGAGGGGCGCGGCCGCGGGGCTCGGGCTCAGGCTCCGCCTTCGGGCGGTTCCACCTGAGAGCGGGGTGGGGCGGAGTCTCAGGTTCAGGCTCCACCTCTGGTGGGGAAGGGCGGAGTTCGGGCCACAGGCTCCCCTTTAGAGAGGACTGGGGGCGGAGCCTCGGGTTTAGGCCCCGCCTCGGGGCGGGGAGGGGCGGAGCTCTGGCCACAGGCCCCGCTTCAGAGCGCAGTGGGGGCGGAGCCTCGGGTTCAGGCTCCACCTCGGTGTGGGCTGGGGCCTCGGGGTCAGGCTCCGCCTCAGGGCGGGAAGGGGCGGGGCTCCGGCCACAGGCTCCGCTTTATAGCGGACTGGGGGCGGAACCTCGGGTTCAGGCCCTGCCTCGGGGCGGGGAGGGGCGGAGCTCTGGCCACAGGCTGCGCGTCAGAGCGGAGTGCGGCAGGGCGCCAGGGGCTGCGTGCGGTCCTCCGGCCGCGGTGGGCGCTGTGGCGCTGCTGCCTGGGTCCTCGGCCCTGTCCCCGGAAGCGGGCGCAGGGGGCTGCCCGGTGGGACACACGTGCGTCTGCCGCGATGAAGTTCGCGTACCGGGTGAGCGCGCCGGGGGCGCGGGGCGCGGGGCTGCGACCTGGGGGGGGCGGCCCACCAGGGCGACTCGCGCGCCCTAGGCGGCCCTGGGACTAGAGAGGACCGGGCCCTTCTTCCTTCCGGGGCCGCCGGCCGCCTGAGCAAGGCGCACGGGTCCCGGCTGTGCTGTGCGACGGCGCCAGTGGTCGTGCCGGTAGTGGCTTCCGTGGGGTCGGCGACGGACTCAGCGGGACGGGAGGGCGAGCGCGGCGGGAGCGGGGCGCAGATCTCTCCTCTGCTCTCTTTGGGAAGTCAGAAATGGGGCCGGCAGGATCTTTATGTGTTCTCTAAGTTGAGCTGCTCCAGCAGCGAGAGGGGAATTGGAACGGCAGGAGACGGACACCACCATCCCTGGGAGGATTAGGAGGTGGGGTCCGGGGAGCCGCGGACTGGAGCGGGAAGGAGGGAGGTAGGGGGCGGGCAGATGTGGGGTGAAGGATCAGGCACTGGTGCCTGATGGCGCCTGCTTGCTGTGAGGTCAGGTCACAATGAGCTGAGGGGAGGGAACGGGAAAGGGGAGACCCCCGTGTGGATTTGAGGGCCTAGTGAGAAGGGTGCAGACAGGTAGGTAAGGAAGAGAGGAGTAGGGGAGCCCACCTGTCCCTCATCTCTGCCTTGTCTGCGTTGGTCTTGCATCGCCGAAGCCTTCGGTACAATTGCGGTGCGCTCGCGGGGGAAACACTGCCCAAGTTTGTGCTGTCTCCAGACTTGCTTGTCTTTCCCCCATTGAACATTGTCCCTGATCGGTCCCAGCTCGCTCCAGGTTTGCCCTGGCGCTGGACATGGTGAGGACCTACAGGGCTACGCCTTTAGCCCTGCCGCCAGCCTTGGTTTTTGGTGCCCAGCCCCAGATGACACTCATCCTGTCCAGAACTGAGCCTGCTACTCCCCCCAGAGCGCTCCTTGCCTGTGCCCCCGTGCTGGGGAAGGCCCCTCCACCCACCCAGCGCCCACACCAGAAGCCAGCTGGGTGCTGGCCCTTCTCATCCATCTCCTCTTGGGCTGGGTCCCATCCTTTCTTCTCCATTCCTATGTCACTGGGCTCTTTGGGGCGCTGTCGTCTTTTTCCTAGGATAGTACAAGAGCTTCTTACCTGCTTCCCTGCATTCCCCTTGCTCCCTGCAATCGTTAGAGTGGTCCCAAAAAATGTGAGCCAAGGCACGTCACCGCCCTTCTTGGTCTTGCCCAGTTCCTCCCTGAAGTTCTCTGACCTTGGCTGGAATTCCAGAGCTTAGCCTGGCTTGGGCTTGCTGTTGTCACCCAGGTTCCAGCTTAGATGCCCCATGTCCGGGGACCTTCCCTGAGCACCCGGCGAAGGTCACCTGGCGTGCACACGCCGCTGGGTGGGGCCTCTGTCTCACAGCACCTCACATCATCTGTACTGACCTCATCTCGTGTTTGGTGAATGAATGGGCTGTGACACACTTAGGGTTCGGGTGCCTCAAACTCAAGATGCTCTTGGAGTGCTTTTCCTCTGTTGCAGCTTTTCTCCTGAAACATGGACCCTGTCCCCTCCTTCCCCCACCTCCTACCCTCCCTCCCACCAAAAATGCCGCATGTGTTCACAGCCACCTCTACCCTTGGATGGAGCTCTGGGCTGTTCACTTCACCTCAGTCTCTCTTGCTTGGGGCTATGGCTGTCTGGGTGGCCAGGAAATGTCTGGGGGTAGTCAGGGTGCTTTGGGAATGGATAGGGCCTGGTGCCCTGTGGGGGCTCTCTTCCACGCAACACCCCATTCCACCCTTTCCTGTGAGCAGAGACAAACTTTGTATTTACTTTATATTAAGACAGCTTTGTTTTCTTTCCAGTTCTCAAATTTGCTGGGTACAGTGTATCGGCGTGGAAACTTAAATTTTACACAGGATGGTAATTCTGTTATCAGTCCTGTGGGAAACAGAGTCACCGTGTTTGACCTTAAAAAGTGAGTATGAGAAAATGACGTTAAAAGGAACGATGATTAGAGCTTGTGTGTAAAAGCCGACGGTGATTCTCAGAGCTGTTTTCAGCACCTTAGTTTTTATGGTGTACCCATTAATTAAACAATTTTTCCTACTGCTTTCAGGAGTTGGAAGGCAGCCCCAGAAAGGGTGGTGGGAGGTACGTGGTGTCAGTGGGTCGGCAGGGGGATTGCAGTGGGTGTCTTGGTTGTTGACACTGCCCTTACAGGTACCATCGGGATGGGGCACATGCTTCGGGTCACTCAGCAGGGCTCTCTGGGGGAAGGTCGAGAACTTCTTGTTGTGGACTTGGGGTTGCAGAAAGGGGGTGATGTCAGGGCTTGTGCTCCATCTTGGGTATACCTCACCAGCGAGGCCCCTGCCGGGGAGAGCCTGGGCTGCCGGGGTGCTGCCAGGCACCTCACTGGGTCTCCTCACTTGGGATGGGGCAGGGTGATCCAGCTCCGCAGCTTGCAGGGTTCTGCTTTGGTTGCTTGGGTCTGGCTCGGTTGCCTCCGAATGAGCCTGCTGCTGCTTTTCTCTCTTCCCGAGGGGAAGGGCTTCCGAGCGGCTGTTCACCTCTCCCACCTCCACCCAGATGTGCCGAGGAGGCCTCGGCCGCCCAGGGTCTGTCCTGCTCTGTAGTGCTCCAGCTGTGTGGCCTGCGGCCTCCATTTCCTTTTCTGTCAGTGGGGACAGCGACAGTCCCTGTTGGGTAGGTCATTCCCTGAAGTGCCTGGGAGCCGCGCCTGGTGCAGGGAGAGCTCTGGGGCCAGCTGCTCCTGCTGCTGCTCTCGTGTTTAAATGACATCCAGTGAAGGATCGCTAAGTAACAGCTACGTGTTTGTTGAAGAAAACTCGGAAAGCAAAACAATGAGGGACAAAAGGAGAATCGAGTTGCGGCGTTTACAGAGACGCCCACGTGTCACTACGTACTTACGTGCCCATTTTTGTGCATTTTCCCTTGTCCTTGTAAGTGTCATCTTCTGTGATGTGCTGTCATTGGGGTCAGTCCCTCTCGTTGGACTGCTAGCTTGTTTCCAGATTCCCGACGTTAGACGTGTAGGGTCCTCTGGGACACAGTCCTGCAGGTGAAATTGGTGCGTCAGCCATTTTAAGGCTTTTACTATATTTTGCCAAATCTCCCCCAGGGACACCGTCTTGCTCCCTTTCTCCCAGTGGAGACAGGAGACCATGCTCCGCCCTTGAGGATCTGGAGGGATGGGAGGGTGTGTGGCGTGGATGGGGTTGTGTGGTGTGGGCGGGCTGCTGGACAGAGGCTCATGGCACACACTCCACCGCTTCCTGCTGTGGTTTGTTTCTTCAGCAACAAGTCGGACACCCTACCCCTGGCCACGCGGTACAATGTCAAGTGTGTGGGGCTCTCTCCGGATGGCTGCCTCGCCATCATTGTGGACGAAGGTAATGGCCTTGGGCCAGAGCATGGTGTATGGGGTGGGGGTAGGCATGGCGGGTGGCTGTTCTACCCTGATTGGGTGGTCAGGTGGGAGTGATTGCACTGAGTCGCAATGAGGGGGTGTCACCATGAGACAGCCCCTCCCCATCTTTGCAACATCATGGGGCACTGGTGGAGCTTAGGATGAGGGTGAGGATATTTCTTAGTGTGGGCCCCGTGTCTCAGTGTGGAGAAAAGTGAGGACGTCTCTGTCGGGTGGGCCTCACGTCCCCATGCCAAGAAAGGTGAGGAGGACGTCTG